CAAAAATATTATTTTTAGTGTAAGAATTAAATTATTAAATTGTAATTAATATTTATTAAATAATTAATAAACAACCATAAAAACTCTCTCTTTCAATCCATTTCTCTCAGTAGTTTGTTTGTTACTAAGGTTGAGCATATGTTGGTCAATTCCAAATTACCTAATGTTCCAAATAGAATGTTTTCTTTTCTTTAAGTTTGATTAGGTCGGTTAAAATTCTAGTTAATGAAGTATTTTGGTTTAGCTAACAATTAGGTTGGTTTGAGATTAATTTTTCACAAAATCTCATTAAAAGTGTTAATTTATTATCATTAAATTAATTATAATTAATATTTTATATAATTTAATAATTATATTGGTATATAACGCTTTTTTTAAAAATAAATATCAAACAATTAGACAATTTTTATAACAATAAAATACTTAAAAATTCACAGCCACGTCTCTTCGTATCAATTTCACATCAATTTCAAACACAATCTAAAGTACTAAAGAATTTTAGTTAACTAAATAAACAATAATAATAATAATAATAATAATAATAATAATAATAATAATAATAATGATAACTAGCTTGCTTTCCCTCTGTCTCTCTCTCTCAACTTCATTCCCTCTCCTCTCTCTTTCCTTTTTTATCTTTGTGGTTTAATTTAATAATTAGTTTATTAATTATCAGTTTTATTTTATTTTAGTTTAGAAAGTTTTTTTTTTCCTAAATGGTTTATAAACTTTGAAGAATATTTCAAAATAATCTATCGTACAAAATTTCTATTAGTTTCACCAAAAAGTTAACTTACAGTTAAAAAGAGCAGTCCTTGAAGTTTTGAGAAAGTAACACTATAATTCCAATAAAATATAATGACTTAAGGAATATTTTATAGAGATAAATTAATTAACATTTGTAATAAAATTGAGCAACTAGCTCAATTTGAAGAAAGAAACTTAGCAAATTTAAAATAAGAAGCTTCAAGAGTAAGTGTTGAAGATTCAATAAAAGTTAAAACTTTTAACTATGAAATAAAGATAAAGAGAAAAAGAATAAATACACTCTAAGAAATATTATTAATATATTTCCTTAACATAAATAATGAACAAATATTGGATTAACATATATTTACTCAATACATTAGGTAAAAACATAACCATTATAGAAAATATAATTATTATTGATAAGATTCTAGAAATAGATACTATTAATGAAAATACTTTTAAAAGAATTAAAGAAATAGGAAAATTTCTTTCTCAAGATTTGATTCTATTAAAGAAAGAATAAATGATGTCAAAATTTCTAGAGATTTGAAAGAAATAAAAAAAGAAATAAATTCTATCAAGACTCAAAAACTCTGATATCTCGAATTAGAGATATAGAAATCAAAATAGAAGAAATTCTTAAAATATAAAAGTAATAGTTGAAAATTTTGTCATAAAAGCTTATGATGTATAATAGAATAATTCAACAACTAGAAAGCAATATAGATAAGAATTTCTATAGGATCCAAACTTAACTCAAGGATTTACAAGACACTATAATATCAATTTACAGTAGATGAAATATTGTAAATAGAAATGAATGATTTAAAATAATCACAAAGATTAAAAAAAAAATCTAAATTGAAGGAAGTAACACTTTCTATGTTAAAAACTCAAGAAGAACAATTGAAAAAACTGAAACAAAAATTCTTAGAAGAAGAAGATGTAGAAGAATTAGACAATATGTGCATACAGATTATGATAACTACTAAACAACTAGAAAATATGAAGATGAATGCTCAAAGAGGAGGAAAAGAGGAAATTGAAGAAGAAAGTGAAGAAGAAAAGACGAGAGACAACCTAATATAACTCCAAAAGAATTCCCACTACAACAAGGGGTAGAGTCTAGCACCAGTCAAAGTTAGAAAAGGAATGTAAATCAAATACATGAAATATTATGAAAGAAATTTGGAAATCAATCTAGACTTGAAACCCTGGTTAGACTCAAAGAACAAATAATTAGTACCAACGGCATTTGGTTAGATCTAGACTGTGTTACCGATCCAAAGAAAGTTAGTAGGGATTAGGCTCAGGTCACTTGTGTAGCTATAGCAAACAAAAACTAGAATGCTTTATAAGTAGTTTGATTCATTAAAGTCACATTTAAAGGGATAGGTCATAATTGGTTTTCTGGTCTAAATGAAGAAAGAAAGTAATACTATTGTAAGTGGAAATCTTGCTTTGGAAAAATTGAATGAAAACGAATCAATTCAAGATATAATAACTAGGTTCGAACCAACTATAAGAAAAGAATTTTTAGGAGAAAATTGGGAAGAAAATCAGGAAAAGGAAGAAGCTAGAATTGGAAGAATAGTAGTATATAATCTGCATAATTTAGAATTATGTAATCTCTGCAAGCTAGACCAATACATTTGTTTATTCTAGAAATATTATTATAAAGCCTACAATCATGGAATGGCTAAAGGTCTAAGAGAATTATTTTTTGGAAAAATCCCTAATCCTTGGGGAATAAGGCTAGCAGAAGCTTATAGAACCTATATAGAAGATAAAACCGATATGTTAGGACTAAGAATTCGGTTCACTAAACCCAAAATAAATGAGTGGTGTATAGACACCTTCGGTTATAACAAATTCAGGAAAAGAAGGAAAAGGGGGTTATGTTTCCCTATCAATATTGACCCAATCAAGTTAGGATGTAGTTATTCAAACTACAAGAAGAAAAACAAAAGATTTAGAATTAAAAAAAGTAATAAACAAAGGTTTAATAGGAATAAATTTTCTAGAAAGAAAAAGAAGAAAACAAAAGAACTAGGAAAATATAAAAAGAACCCTAAGAAATGTACATGTTGGTTATGTAAAGAAGTTCGACACTATGCAAATGAATCTCCTATAAGATATAAAAGAAAAAGTACTAAAAATTTAAAAATTTATGAAGAAGAGTTAAGTGAAATAGAGACTAACGCTATAAATAGCGATGAAAGTATATATGAAGTGGAAAGTTTAGATATTTCCAGCAATGATGAATCTGAATATTGAGGGAGTAGAAGCTTATTCTGAAAAATATGAAAGATATAGAGAATACAACTTAGTAATTGTATTTGATAAAAGTAACTATAAAAGAATTAGACAAAAAGGAATAGATGTTGCATTGGAAAAAGGATTTAAGTCAAATTCCTTTAAATCCTTTTTAAGAGGAAAGATATAGTTTAATACAAAATATCCACTAAAGAATATACCATTCCCATAAAAAATACAACAAGAATAATAAATATACCTCTGCTCATCAAGGTAGAAATAAAAAGTAAATTGTCAAAAATCAAAGAATTTGATAGATTAAGGATAGGATTTATCCATATAAGAGGAATTCAAATCCTTATTAAAGCCCATTTTAGAAAAGGTATAGACACCCCAATAAAGCTAACTTAATAGTAATAGAATTAACAATAGAAAGGATGTTATCCTAAGATTTGTACAAGGTAACATTAGCTACCAAAAACTCATGTTCACGTATATCCAAAGTATGCTATAAATATTAATGATAAAAATATCAACAAAACACTCAGTCTAGCACACGAGTTTGCTAGAGAAAATTTTATAAAAGATGGATCAATGTCATATAATTTATTATATAATAAGTTATGCATTAACCAAAAGTCATCATTCTAATCTTTTCAAAGACAAAGAATATATTGAATTAGATTCTATGTTCTCTGAAATAAGACAAATTTCGAAACCAGAAATGATCACTTAAATAGAACCACTCAAAGAATAGGAAATGGACATTAGTGAAAATCTACTTCTAATAGGAAAAAGAGAAAAACCTAGACTAATGGTATATGAATTAGGAAAACTATTAGTCAAAACAAAACTTGAACCAAGCCATATAAATAGTATAGACTTAGGAGCTTTGAGCTACCTTAAGAAAGATAAAGAGGTCTTAACCAAGACAATCAATATAAAACATGAGGTGGTGTTAGATATCTTAAAGATTCCCTCTAGACATTTCAAAATAAAAGGAGATTATTATGATGGAAAGGAATGGCATAACATTTCTATCCTAATAGATACATGAGTGGGAGTAATACATATCCATAGCAATATGAACTCACACCTATAAAGATTTGAACTCATTAACCCATGCACATATTACAACTTTAATGGTACAATAACCATAATACATGAATATGCAAAAATACCTCTTAGAATAGAGGAAAATAATAAGATACGATATGACATCACTATAACAACTCATACTGAAACAAAAATGACTGCAAGTATAGAATTGATATTAGGAAACACATTTTTAACATCAATACAACCTTATAATATCCAAGAACATTGTTTGAAGATTACATTAAGTGAAAGAGAAGTGATTATACTAAGATACTATGAAAACTAGTATCTATAGTGCATACATATCCATTGGAATTAAATATGCAGAATAAAAAACAAAATTGTTTCATACTTTTATAGATACAAGATTTGGGATATGTTTGGCCAAAACCAATGAATTCCCAAAGTATTATTGGAAGAAAACCTCTCAAACAATTAAATGTGTAGCCATAGATAGAAGTATTATTCAATACCAAACAATAATAAAAAAAAGTTACTACTATAATTGGCAAAACTAAAGTTATATTTTCCTGAGTAATGAACATGGGAATGACATTCTATTAGGAAACAATTTCCTAATCCAATTAAAGTAATATGTT